GCACGACAGTTAGGGCTTAATAAAATAAAGGGCAATCTCAGATCTGAAGACTGGTTACAATACATCTGCAGAGCAGTTGTGCTCTCTGAAAGGAAAGGACTCTACATTCTCAGAGGAAATGCCATGTGTCCCCTCTAAAAATGCTGCATGCAAGAACAGTGTTTATATATTCAAGATACAACCCTGCTAATGGGAGGATGCAGGATCTTCCTTAGTCCATAGTGTAGCTCACATTGTCTCTGTAAAGATACTAAAAGCATAATGGATTACAAAAACTTGGCAACAATAACAACAAAAAAATGTCCTAGGCCTGTGGTCAAGAGACAACAGATTTCCAAACCTGGATCCAGAGATATGCTTAAAACGACAGTTGAAAGCCTTCGCAATGCAGGCATGTCTGTCTCTAATTTTGTAACCAACAGAATGGTCCACAACACTGGTTTACCCTCGTAGAATAACACCTACGTGCAAAGAGGCATCAGAGAGAAAGGGAGGACATGACACATGCTCTAGGACCCCACAAACAAATAAGAACACCTTGGGTTTATACTTGGAGGAAGACAATAAGCAACTATGAACAAAGTGAACTAAGTCTTCCTGTAGCTCTGGTATCATCACCTAGCGGAAGTTTTCGGACTTTCCAGAAAGTAGCTCAAGAATTAAGGATTATTACAAACTTTTAAATATACAGAGAGATACCTGATGGGTAGGGCTTCTCTCCATGCTTAGACAGCTGAGTGCTACCACCCAGGGGATCAGCCAGAGCTGACAGCCCAGCGTGGCAGCAAGAACCTAAAAGAGGCGTCTCAGGTGTCCACTCACCTGCCTAACCTGGCTTGGTCAAGCATAAAGAACATACCTCCTTCCCCAATGTAAACTGCCCTAAGGTAAAACACCTTCTCTCACTAAGGGCGAATCACATAAAAATCTGTAGCAGAGTATCTATAAAAGGACTTGCCCTCATCCCCACTGTACCCTCCAACTTGGGATTTTGTCAGACGGAAGGTTAAGAAAGCTACAGTGATGGGGAAGGACCCAATTACATTAAAAAAGAAGTCAAAATAAAGCACAAATTTTGAAAATAATTTTTAAAATACCACCATTGTTTAGGTGTGTTACACATGCATTCGTGACATTTTTTGGAAAATGAATCATTTTAAATGCACCTTAGAAACTGGTGATTTTAATATACGCTATTAAAAATATAGCATATCTGCAAAGTTCAGAATCCTTTCCTATGACTTATATCAAAATCACTTTCTGTAATCACAGCATATACAAATCTATATTGAGTCCACTTAAGCAAAGATCCACAGATACATGGAAATGGTACACGAGAGTTGAGACTATGGGGCTGGCAAAGAAAACGTGGAAGAAAAGGTACAGAAGTCATGCACTGCCACTGATGATGGGGTTTATTTATTTGAGAGGCCTGAGGGAGCTACTGACTGCTGGCCTAGTGTGAGCTGCCTTCTTTCCCCAAACAAAAACTGCTTTTCTTTCCCATGTAGCCAACCCTGCCAGTTCCAAGCCTGCCCTCTCATCTCTCCCGCCGAGTGCCTTCAGGTCTGAAGTGCCTCTCACAGCCAAAGGTGGGGAAGATGGCCCAGAGCTGATGTGGACCCCAGCCCAGGTGTGTAGATGTGCCAGCAGCCCTTGCAGCCCCACGGCGGGGGAGCGATGAAAAACTGGCCCTGGCTTCAGAACACACCTACCCAGCGAGGTGGCCAACCACAGAGAATACTCCTAAGACAGGGAGCCTAACACGCTGGCAGAGGACGTGACAAAATCCCAGAGGCCCTGAAGAAGCGCCCCGGCACGCGTCATGGCAAGTGGAAAACCGTCCCACGTTTCCCAAGGAAGAGGGAGAGAAGCAGAAAGGGGAGATGGGCCGTGCTGTCCAGCACTGCGGGCGTGGCGGCCCTGAACTCTTTGCCTGCAAGTGGAAAAAAGAAAAGGCTTAGCTAATAAATGGCCCCTTGAGGACAGATGACTTCACTTTTCTTTCATTTTGTTTAGATTTTCCCCCCCTCAGGTTTGTATTTTCGTGATGAGGGAAAGGTGGGTCCTTAAGGTCAAGAAGCGCTCACAAAAATCAGCCTGAAAATGGCTTGCCCGAGAAGCCAGGCTCCCCTGGATGAGGGGTTGCTTTAGGGACCTCACGGACCAAATGCCCAGGTCTAGTGGTTTAGTTCAGTGCTGAAGGCAAGGAAATAAATGGTTGCTCAAATGCAATTTCACTTTCACAGCTGGCCAGCTTTGTCAAAAGCGCTGGTCAGTCTTTAAAGCTAGTGACACTGAGCATACAGGTCATTAAAGGTGCCTGATTACAAGGATGACACAGTATCTGCAACATGCAGTGCTAAGGTATCCAATAGCTGGTCTATGCATGTGTCTAAGGTTTCAGTAAAGCTGGGACTCACACACAAAAAAAATCTTCCCCAAAAAAGTTTTTCTAAGTACTGTGTAGACAACAAGGAAAAAGTCAAATCTTTTTTTGACCTTATTTCCTAAGTACTTTTCGCCTCATATTGCTTTTATTTTCATTAGCATCTTTTTTTCATTGCTTAGAGTTTTTTTAAGGTTATATTTTGGCCCTGGGTAGGTGCAATAAAAGGAAATTGTACTGCAAAACTTTTGGCCTTTTCTTGGTTTCATCAGCGCAGGTCATACCAGCATTGAGACAGACCTTCAAATGTAACCTTCCAGATGCTTCTGGGGGCTTTGGAGAGAGTTACAAGAAGAAGGAAAAAAACAACTACTAGAGGTCGTGAAGCCATAGAGTAATTTGTTGCTGAACAGCATGGTCACCAGATGTGGGGAAATACTTTCCAATAGCGCAATTAAAGACCAAGCATTCTCATCATCGGCTTGAATTTATGTCAGAAGACAAGACCTCCACCTCCCTTTTTGGTATGGGTAAAACCTTTGATCCTTAACAAACTGAGAGAGAAAGCAAAGTTGTACCTTTTATTTATTTCTTTATTCGCTAAAAAACTATGATAGATTCAACCACAACTGAAATGGAACGATGTAAATAAAGTACTTCAGTGTCAACTGTTCCATTGAACCAGTATTTTCCCATGCACCCAGCACTTACTAATCTCAATTGTATTGTTTGAAGGCTACTCCTCTAAGCCCTCAGTTATTTGCACAATCGATGACGACTTTCTCCATTCCCAATGGAACTGCTTTCTTGAATTTCCACTGTTACGTTTTCCCAAAGACTATTCTCAGGTTCTGCGTCCTGACTCTGCTGCAATGGTGGATTTTTGGCCATGATTTGTCTTAAAACTTCATAATTAGATAGTTTAACATCATAGTATAGCAAATACATATTTTAATATTCAGCTAGAAAGAATTATTTGCATACTCATAAAAACCAGAGGAAGTAAAGTTTATTTGAGATGCAGGATTTGGAAAGGCCGGGTTGGGTTTGTACTGGAATTGAAGTGCAAACATTTCTCAGCTCCCCTAAGGTGGCTGCACCCCTGTAACAGCCTTCTTTGTTCAGAGCCATGACTTCTGATCTTAGATTCGTGACACGCCTGGGCGTCGCCAAGGGTCTCTGGGGGTGTTTTAAAACTCCCTACACAAAAAGCCAAGTAAAATAATTTCAATTCACTTTAAAAGAATGCCACACATGTTTGGAGGCAAGGGAGGGTGTCCTGGACTCAAAAGATCAGTCGAACCTATTATAAAAGCTTGATCTCTGTCAATTATATTCTAGTCTAAACCAACTAATGGATAAAATAAAGAAAATTAAGCATGATGAGATAGTCTAAAATGTGTGATTTTGTGTTTGGGGGAGACAGGGAAGGAGTGGTTACTTGCAACACTCTTTCTGTGGAAAAGCCTTTTGACCTCTTTGCTTACTAATACTAATGAAAGAATTAGTGCTGACTGGCAATTGAAAACCCAGTTCATAGCTCCTGTCCACCGACTTGCACTACAACACTCATTTTTCAAACAGGGGCCACAAGAATTTTTTAAGACACACAATACCTGGCTATTTAGTCAGAGGCACTGACCTCTTTTCCCATAGATTGTCAAATAAAAAAAAAAGAAAAATGACAACAGCCAACACAAGAGCTATCTGGTGTGAATGAATCAAAATTGTACCTATCTTTTTCTTTTTTTTTGTCAGATTGGCAAAAAAATATATCACTAATTTTTGCTGTGCCAGATTTTTAGTAATTAGTTTATGTGTGCCATCAGATGAAAAAGGTTGAAAATCACTTCACTAGGACATTAATGTCTTAAAATTGAGAAGATTCAGTATTAGTTTCATGAAAACCAACCAACAAGCCAAACAAGAACCCAGACACTAGAAGCTAAGGAGAATAAAACTAACTTAATTTTGTCAGTTTTCCCCTCAGCTTCTCATTTAAACTGTTATCCTGAGATTACCTGGGGTTATACATCACTGCTCTGCAATATCCAACTCTAAATTCATTGGTCACCATAAGCATAGTAATTAAAAGACTCAGCAATTGGGAAGCTGGCTTGTAGCCATTATCTTTTACTATAGACTCCAAATTTCCAATGAAATATTTCCTGATGGGTTATGTCCCTAGGTTTCACAACTTTCTTTATTCAGAAAATCTACATAAGTCATATCTAGTAAATCTAAACATGAATTTCCTCTAGAGTCTCAAACATATGCACTAAAAAAAAAAAAAATCACTGAAAAAAATAGTCTTTCATTAAATAGGGCTGCCTATTCCCTAGAGAAATCAACTTTACTGTTTACTTTTTATTTTTCATATCATTGCCTATTTAAATTTAGACCCATATTTTTCATAAGCCCCAAAATTCCAGCAAGCAATTCCTTACTAATTTTCATTTAATCCTTCATCCACCCTGTTAACACTGCTTGCCAAAAAAGACCAAGCAAAGTTCCTTTTAAACTCGGCCTTTTATATCACACTTCTAAAGTTGTCTGAAGAGTCAAGACACCTGAAAGATATAAAGAAGAAGAAGAAAGAAAGTATTCTTGCCTTATTTGTAGCAGTAGCACTGGATCCGGGGACCACGGGCACATTCGTCACTTGAACTGAAAGATAATTATTATCTATGAGTGGCCAGGCCCCTTCCACTTTGCACGTCTGGAAGTGATCCTTGAAAGTTCTAAGGTGAGGATCTCCGAACAAGCCACAAAAAAGATAATTGGGAGGGGTTCTGGTCCCCGCCCCTGTGTTCTCTGGCTCCTGCATGGCTGTGATAGTTACAAGGATCATGGGTCACTTCAGGGTTGGTAGAAGATGTGGGTCCATCCTTGGAACAGTTCCTCTGGCTCATGAGGTCACTGATACCCAATACAGCAGAATGGTATACCAGGTTGCCACGGCAAGCTTTTGAAGTTCGCTGGGTGCAGCCAGCATAGGCACGCAGGGCCTTGCAAAACTCGGAGTCAAAGCCGTCAATGGCAGAGTTCAGGTGTGAAGTCAGGGACACAAAGTCTGTGGTACATTTCTGGATTCGACCTGGGCTGGTTGTTGGCAGTCACCTATGGGAAAGGAGATAAGACCACACATTTCTCAAAAGCTTCATGACTTCCTGAGCTACATGAGAAAATGACATTCTCCTCTGGGGACTGTTTGTTCTATTTCATATACTCCTATTTTAAGAAGGCCTTCAGAAATAGGGTTGCATTGTGCTTCTGTGTCTCTCACAAATTAAGCCACTGGGAGAAAAAGTGCATGCAGTTAGTCAGCTTAACACTTTAAAGTATGGGCCATTGTAAGTGAATATGAATCCAGTACCGTGTTCTTAAGTTAATATTACAAGGGAATGGTAAATGACATATTTTATCAACTTTGCTATTGCTGATGGATTTTAAGAGTATTCCTTTGCTCCAAGGACAAGCAAAAGATGTGAATGTTGTTTTGATTTTGAAAACTGCATAAGTAATTTGCTTTGGAAAGCACTGTCTATGCACAAAACCACAATTAAAGCTTCCACAAATCAGGTAGGGGAAACCCCTTAATTATAGCATGAATGGTTAAAACACCTTTACCTGACTTTAGTAAGGCTAACAGAGGAAGAATAACAAGAAAAAAAAATCTAGGTACTACCTTATTCTGCATTTCGTGATAGATGTTTATCAACAAATTGTATATAAACTGACACTTAATCTCCTGGTTCTTACAAGTGTCAATATTCTCTTAATACATTTGACCAAACTAAGTATTCACTTCTGCACCATCCACCACCGAGGATCCCAGCTCCCCAACAGTTCACCAGTGAAAGTACACTAAAATCAGAAGGACACGGAAATTATGCTGCAGAAACAGGTGATTCCAACGATATTTTTCAGAAACACAACAGAATTCTTAGAGTGTATATAAGTGATTTTTTCCTGAAATCAACAATTCGTATGAACTTAATGACCGAAGCAAAGTAATGAAATGAAGTAGTGAAAAACAACGTATTAGTGCCCTAAAATGATGTTTTGCCACTAGCTTCTCACATAAAAAATCTATAAAACCTCTCAAAGCACAAAAATCATAAGAATTGCCAAAACTAGGCCAGTCACGTGCACCTATCAGTTTATTTTGTTCCATAAAATGGGAACACTAGACTTACTGAAAAGCAAAATCCTTTTATCATCCATCTCAAATTTTATAGACATGAACTGTAACATGTATCTGAGTTACACATTCATTGTAGGTCTCTAAACTATGAAGGAAGGTCTCAATCTTTTCAAGTCTAAGGTTCCTCATCTGAGAAATGAGGACGTTGTTCTAAAATAAACTTTGTCACATTTTTTAAGGCATCAAATATCTTATTCTAGGTGGGATAAAACAGTCAGTAGAGTACTATTAAGTATGAAATTATTTAAAGGTGTGGGCATAAACTTCAGCATATATTAATATTTAGGATTTCATCTGATAAAACTATTAAAATGGATCTTAAATAAAAATAATTTAAAAAGATATCTTAATCTTTTCAGTAGTAAACTGCTCTTAAGTCTAAATTAAATAGCCTATAATCTCTGTTTTGGCTTCAGTTGGGGAAAAAATGGTAAGAGATGACCACTTCTCAAAGTACCTCCCCAACCACTTTTATAGTTTAAAGTCCAAATAGGGAAAAATGTTGTAGTTTTGATTGGATATTCACTTTAACTTGAGTAAAAATTTAAAATATTAATCACAAAACCATCTTCATGAGTTTGACCTCTATTATGTTAGATCACTGCAAAGTCAACAAAAGCAGCTCTGATATTTATAGAATTCCTTTCTCCAAAGTAAATCAAGTCATTTTCAACTATTTTTACTCAAAAAAGCAAAATAAATAAAAATTCAATCACCAAGCAAAACAAAACAAACAAACAACAAAAAACCCAAAAGTCATTAAAGCCATTTAACAGATGAAAAAAAAATCAAGGTGGAGGATTTTAAGGCCTTGTCCTGGCTGATGACACACAGCCAGTACGCAGCCCAGGACGTGGTGCCCTTTCCTCCAATCCCATTTTCCCTCCTCCATGAATCATGCCCCCTAAATTCCTGACTCTCAAAATGGTACTTGACAGCTTAACAAAAAAGATTCAAGTAACTAATGTATCGATTTTTTTCCCTTTTAAGTCAGATTCACAGCAAGCAGAAAGCAAGGAAATAAAAACTGGGCCAAAATCATTCAGTAACGAACAGCCCTCAGCCTACAAATAAATGACAGCATAAGAACTTCCCGCTAAACTTGCAGTGCCTATTTGTTCTTTTTATGGTCTATAAAATCTATCTGAGCATACATTTACTTATAATTATTTCAAATAGTCATAAAATATCAAAAGTAAGAACAGTATGGAAATGCAAACGCAACTGCTCAGAGTGGAAGAGAAGTGAACTTAGATTCCAGCTTCTTTTCCGCTCCCTTCCTCATCCTCCCCTCACCCTTCCCTTACTCATTGCAGGTATCTGCTGATTCCTTTGAGAAAACAAAACTCCTTGGGTTCTTCTGTTTTTGCTGAGGTTTCCAACAGCCTTTTGGGGTAGAGATAATGGGAGGGAGGAAGGCTAACTAGAAAAGTGCACCTCGGTCAGCAGTTGCAGCCCCAATGCAGGATCCTGCAGAATGACTAATTTGTAGCATATACCCAGAAATATCCAGGCTTCATGAATATATAATGACAACACACACTTTGCCTGTTACAGGCGGTAAAGAAGCCTCCTGTCAAAATGCCAATGCGGAGCAGAAACAATCTCAAGGATGTAGTCAAGAAGGCTATGAAGTGTATGAGTAAGCAAGTAACTCCCATATTGGATCTCCAGTCAGGAACTGCAGAGGTTTGCTTAATAGAGAAAAAAAGCAAATAAAAGTACTCATTTCATTTCTCAAGGGCAGAATTAAAAATCTGCAGTTCCAGATTTCTATTTTTTTGAGTCAGATCTTCTATGATTGGTACGATAGTATTTTCATTCTAGTTAATAAAAGTGCTAAAGGATATTCGGGCCTAGAACTTTCCTTAATGATTGACAGATGAAGATCTCACCATTTAAGACAGTTTCCTCAAGGCCAGGGCTGCATGTGTGAATTTGCGCACAATTACTGGTTTATAATAAAAGAAACAAGATAAGCTCAAGTTGAATTAAGTGAAATGTGAAGCCATATGGGGGTGCTGGGGCAAATTATATGGATCCAGCATAAAACATATGGCAGCCCATCTGCAAAGAGCACTTTGCTAGGCTCCCTGCTCTGAGTAACAACCCCTGCATGTCAATGGCACTGCTCTTCAAAAGAAGTCTCTCAAAAGAAGCCCTCTTTTCTATAACCAGATTAATTGCTCCACTTTGACAAGTCAAGTCGTTCACCAGAGATCACCATAGCCACTCTGGTAGAATCTGATGGTGACTTTAGTGAGGGCACATTAACATACTCAGAGGAATTTCACATTCCAAGTTCTTGAACTAAGTGGCACCTTGATTTTCTAGACGTTTAAAGCAGCTTCTTAGGTCTTTAATGGGCCAGCAAAGAAATCTTCAAGGACCACATTCCAATCCTGTCAGAGGACACTATGGCAACTAAGGGAAACAATATCCAAGCAGCCAAGGACACAGTCCCACCTAGCCCTTCAATTTCCATTTCAAGAAACCCATGCTTGGACAGTATGGACACATTTTTCACACAAATCACCCCTGAATATATCTTCTGACATGTCATGACAAATGCATCATGTAACTGTAAGGAGACTGAAATTACTTTTTAAGATTCTAAAGTCACTAATTGAAAGCTTTAATCATTCTAAAACTTGCCATGAAATTCTTTATTCAGACTTCAGTTTATGTTTTCCCAAGTGACAGTGTTAAAATGCAGCTGTTACATCACAACACAAAGTTATACAAAGTCAATTACCCCTTCTTTTCAAATGCCACATTTCCCCCCCACTTCTTGAAAGAGCCCCAGACTTTGAGCAGGGGCTGGTATGACTTAATAAATAAAAATTACTCCCCACATTTGGGTGGCATTAAAGTTCAGGATTCTCCAGATCAGAGCATGATGACTGCTCTCCTACTACTAAAGGACAAAATGATCTGGAAGAACAATTTACCTAACACTCTAGTTGTTCTCAAACTAAAAAAAGATAACTTAAATTTCAATGTGGCATTTGAAAAATTCTTTGTCTAGACAAACTCCTTAGAAGTGGTCTTGTTTGTAAAGAGCATCCAAGATTCCCCCCAACCTTGAATGCGATTGCATAACTGACATTTAACATTGTATTAATGAGAGGAATTTAAACAAAATACTATCACAGTCTAGATGGCTCATTCTCAGGCTTATTTCCCTAAGAACAGATTCCACACTGCTGCTTCAGAGGGAAAGCGCCGACCTCCAGCAAGCAGCGTTATCTGTCAATCCGTCCTGAAAACACGCGGCTAGCCACAAAGCACGAGTTTTTCCAAAGAGGTTGAAAGCTGAATTAAAAGCAGCTTTTGCAAATACGAAAGAAATCCCTGTTTAAAGAAGTTTAAGTTACTTCGCGAAATTAACCTCCCAGTTTACAAACTCAAGTCCATTCTCACCTCACCGCCACCCCCCAACTCCAGGGCAGCGAAAGCGCCCTTGTCTCCCTCCGAGTAGCGGCAGCGGCAGAGAAATCCTGATCCCAGCCTGACTTTCAGTAAACACCACGCAGAGAGCAACAAAGCATCCGGAACATATTGTCTCAGGCGGCGCACCCCGCTGACTCGCACAAATCTTTGATAAGCGGCTGCCGGGGAAATTTATCAACGGCCGAGCAGAAGAGGAGAGAAGGCCAGAGGGAGGGACGGGAAGAGTGGCCTCCTCTGCGCCCTGGAAGGGCGGCACAGGGCGGGGTGTTCCTGCTCCTGCGTGTGTGATTGGGGTGCACGTCAGGGCTCAAGAGGCTTCCAGTTCACCACGGCCCTTCCACCCTGGCCGGGCGTCTTTGGAACCCGGGGTGTTTAAACGTCAGTTCCTGTGCGGGAGTTCAAGCATCGAGCAGCAGCGCGTAGCACAGGGCGGGTAGAGCCCGGGGCGGCGGCGCCTCAGCCCCGGAGACGCGGGGTGGAGGTGGCGGCGCAGGAGCGAGCTGTCACAGGCCCCGGCGAGGGCGGCGGCGCTCGTGAAGGGTCCGGAGCGTCGCGCATGAGCCGGGACGCTCGCTTCCTCTCTTCCTTCCTGTGTCGAGACGTGGTCAGGCTTGTCGCCGCAGGGCGGCCGGGTAGGCGGGACAACGTAGCGGATGGCATCGGCATGGGCGCAGCGGTTGCAGTGGCCGAAAAGGGCGGAGAGGGGGGGAAAGAAGAGGAGCCACAAAGACGTGCAACGAGCGCCGAATCCCCAGCGCCCGGGTGCCCGGTCCCGCCGTGGCTCTGCGGCGTGGGAGGGCGGATCAGGTCCCCAGCGAAGCAGCGGTCGGCCGGGGCCTGAGATCGCGTAGTGGGTCTTGGGTCACCAACCCTGCTCATTGTGCTGTTATTCGCCTTTTTTCACTAGTTATCTGCGCACCATTACCCCCACGGGCCCCGCTCTCGCGCAGCCAATGGAACAGGAGGGCGGGGCACCGTGGGGGTGTGGACAACGCGGATTGGCTAGTGAAGGGCGGGTGGGGCGGCAGTGTGGGGCTGAGATTGATTGACCCAGGGCCACTGCGCAGATATCCGGGCGGCCGACCGCTGCTCGCTGGGGTTGGGTGCGCCTCCTGTTGGTCCACGCCCGCGCTCCACGACCGCAGAGCCCACGCTGGCCGGGGCCGGGGCGCCCGGGCGCTTGGGGCCGGATTCGGCACTCGTTCACAGTCTTTGTGTCTCCTCTTTCGCCCCCCCCTCTCCTCCCGCCGCCTCCGGCCACTGCAATGCCGCTGCGCCCCGTTGCCGTTGCCGTCGCTGCCGACTTGGTCCGCCTGCGGCGCGCTGCTCGCTGCGGCGGTGGCTGCGGCCCGTCTCCGACGTGGGCCTGAAGGAGGAAGAAGAGGAAGCGAGGCGCGTCCCCCGGCTCATGCCGCAGCCACGGCTCCGGACCCGCCACGGCGCCCGCGCCGCCGCCCTCGCCGGAGCCCACGAGACCTGCATGGACGGGCATGGGCTTGAGAGCAGCTCCTTCCTGCGCCGCCGCCGCCTCCGCCGCCGTCTCCGGGGCTGAGCAGCGCCACCGCCCCAGGCTCTGCCCGCCTCCCCTGGCACTGCTCTTGCTGCTGCTGCTCAGTCTTGGGCTGCTCCACGCAGGTACGAGGCGCGTGCGCGAGGAAGCCAGCCCCAGGGCCCTGTGCTTTGTTCCCAAACACCCCGGGTTCCAAAGACGCTGGCCAGGGTGGAAGGGCAACGTGGTGAGACTGGAAAGGCCTCTTGAGCCCTTGACGTGCACCTTAGTCGGGCTTACAGCGCAGGAGCAGGAACACACCCGCCGACTGTGCGGCGCGCCCAGAACGCAGAGGAGAGGCCTCTTCCCGTCCCTCCCTCTGGCCTTCTCTCCTCTTCTGCTCAGACCGTTGATAAATTTCCCCTCCAACAGCCGCTTATCAAAGATTTAGCGGGCGGGGGTGGCGGGAGTTGCGCGCCTGAGACAAATGTTCCGGATGCTTTATTGCTCTCTGCATTGGTGTTTACTGAAAGTCAGGCTGGGATCAGGTTTCCTCTGCCGCTGCCGCCTACTCGGAGGGGAGACAAGGAGCCTTGTGCTGCTGCCCTGGAGTTGGGGGTGGCGGTGAGGTGAAGAAATCGCACCAGATGGAAAGACTTTCACCAGAGTTTGTAAACTGGGAGGTTAATTTCGAAGTAACTTAAACTTCTTTAAACAGGGATTTCTTTCGTATTTGCGAAAGCTGCTTTTAATTCAGCTTTCAACCTCTTTGGAAAAACTCGTGCTTTGTGGCTAGCCGCGTGTTTCAGGACGGATTGACAGATAACGCTGCTTGCTGGAGGTCGGCGCTTTCCCTCTGGAAGCAGCAGTGTGGAATCTGTTCTTAGGGAAATAAGCCTGAGAATGAGCCATCTAGACTGTGATAGTATTTTGTTTAAATTCCTCTCATTAATACAATGTTAAATGTCAGTTATGCAATCGCATTCAAGGTTGGGGGGAATCTTGGATGCTCTTTACAAACAAGACCACTTCTAAGGAGTTTGTCTAGACAAAGAATTTTTCAAATGCCACATTGAAATTTAAGTTATCTTTTTTAGTTTGAGAACAACTAGAGTGTTAGGTAAATTGTTCTTCCAGATCATTTTGTCCTTTAGTAGTAGGAGAGCAGTCATCATGCTCTGATCTGGAGAATCCTGAACTTTAATGCCACCCAAATGTGGGGAGTAATTTTTATTTATTAAGTCATACCAGCCCCTGCTCAAAGTCTGGGGCTCTTTCAAGAAGTGGGGGGGAAATGTGGCATTTGAAAAGAAGGGGTAATTTACTTTGTATAACTTTGTGTTGTGATGTAACAGCTGCATTTTAACACTGTCACTTGGGAAAACATAAACCGAAGTCTGAATAAAGAATTTCATGGCAAGTTTTAGAATGATTAAAGCTTTCAATTAGTGACTTTAGAATCTTAAAAAGTAATTTCAGTCTCCTTACAGTTACATGATGCATTTGTCATGACATGTCAGAAGATATATTCAGGGGTGATTTGTGTGAAAAATGTGTCCATACTGTCCAAGCATGGGTTTCTTGAAATGGAAATTGAAGGGCTAGGTGGGACTGTGTCCTTGGCTGCTTGGATATTGTTTCCCTTAGTTGCCATAGTGTCCTCTGACAGGATTGGAATGTGGTCCTTGAAGATTTCTTTGCTGGCCCATTAAAGACCTAAGAAGCTGGTTTAAACGTGTAGAAAATCAAGGTGCCTTACCTTAGTTCAAGAACTTGGAATGTGAAATTCCTCTGAGTATGTTAATGTGCCCTCACTAAAGTCACCATCAGATTCTACCCAGAGTGGCTATGGTGATCTCTGTGAACGACTTGACTTGTCAAAGTGGAGCAATTAATCTGGTTATAGAAAAGAGGGCTTCTTTTGAGAGACTTCTTTGAAGAGCAGTGCCATTGACATGCAGGGGTTGTTACTCAGAGCAGGGAGCCTAGCAAAGTGCTCTTTGCAGATGGGCTGCCATATGTTTTATGCTGGATCCATATAATTTGCCCCAGCACCCCATATGGCTTCACATTTCACTTAATTCAACTTGAGCTTATCTTGTTTCTTTTATTATAAACCAGTAATTGTGCTGCAAATTCACACATGCAGCCCTGGCCTTGAGGAAACTGTCTTAAATGGTGATATCTTCATCTGTCAATCATTAAGGAAAGTTCTAGGCCCGAATATCCTTTAGCACTTTTATTAACTAGAATGAAAATACTATCGCACCAATCATAGAAGATCTGACTCAAAAAAATAGAAATCTGGAACTGCAGATTTTTAATTCTGCCCTTGAGAAATGAAATGAGTACTTTTATTTGCTTTTTTTCTCTATTAAGCAAACCTCTGCAGTTCCTGACTGGAGATCCAATATGGGAGTTACTTGCTTACTCATACACTTCATAGCCTTCTTGACTACATCCTTGAGATTGTTTCTGCTCCGCATTGGCATTTTGACAGGAGGCTTACTTTACCGCCTGTAACAGGCAAAGTGTGTGTTGTCATTATATATTCATGAAGCCTGGATATTTCTGGGTATATGCTACAAATTAGTCATTCTGCAGGATCCTGCATTGGGGCTGCAACTGCTGACCGAGGTGCACTTTTCTAGTTAGCCTTCCTCCCTCCCATTATCTCTACCCCAAAAGGCTGTTGGAAACCTCAGCAAAAACAGAAGAACCCAAGGAGTTTTGTTTTCTCAAAGGAATCAGCAGATACCTGCAATGAGTAAGGGAAGGGTGAGGGGAGGATGAGGAAGGAGCGGAAAAGAAGCTGGAATCTAAGTTCTACTTCTCTTCCACTCTGAGCAGTTGCGTTTGCATTTCCATACTGTTCTTACTTTTGATATTTTATGACTATTTGAAATAATTATAAGTAAATGTATGCTCAGATAGATTTTATAGACCATAAAAAGAACAAATAGGCACTGCAAGTTTAGCGGGAAGTTCTTATGCTGTCATTTATTTGTAGGCTGAGGGCTGTTCGTTACTGAATGATTTTGGCCCAGTTTTTATTTCCTTGCTTTCTGCTTGCTGTGAATCTGACTTAAAAGGGAAAAAAATCGATACATTAGTTACTTGAATCTTTTTTGTTAAGCTGTCAAGTACCATTTTGAGAGTCAGGAATTTAGGGGGCATGATTCATGGAGGAGGGAAAATGGGATTGGAGGAAAGGCACCACGTCCTGGGCTGCGTACTGGCTGTGTGTCATCAGCCAGGACAAGGCCTTAAAATCCTCCACCTTGATTTTTTTTTCATCTGTTAAATGGCTTTAATGACTTTTGGGTTTTTTGTTGTTGTTTGTTTTGTTTTGCTTGGTGATTGAATTTTTATTTATTTTGCTTTTTTGAGTAAAAATAGTTGAAAATGACTTGATTTACTTTGGAGAAAGGAATTCTATAAATATCAGAGCTGCTTTTGTTGACTTTGCAGTGATCTAACATAATAGAGGTCAAACTCATGAAGATGGTTTTGTGATTAATATTTTAAATTTTTACTCAAGTTAAAGTGAATATCCAATCAAAACTACAACATTTTTCCCTATTTGGACTTTAAACTATAAAAGTGGTTGGGGAGGTACTTTGAGAAGTGGTCATCTCTTACCATTTTTTCCCCAACTGAAGCCGAAAACAGAGATTATAGGCTATTTAATTTAGACTTAAGAGCAGTTTACTACTGAAAAGATTAAGATATCTTTTTAAATTATTTTTATTTAAGATCCATTTTAATAGTTTTATCAGATGAAATCCTAAATATTAATATATGCTGAAGTTTATGCCCACATCTTTAAATAATTTCATACTTAATAGTACTCTACTGACTGTTTTATCCCACCTAGAATAAGATATTTGATGCCTTAAAAATGTGACAAAGTTTATTTTAGAACAACGTCCTCATTTCTCAGATGAGGAACCTTAGACTTGAAAAGATTGAGACCTTCCTTCATAGTTTAGAGACCTACAATGAATGTGTAACTCAGATACATGTTACAGTTCATGTCTATAAAATTTGAGATGGATGATAAAAGGATTTTGCTTTTCAGTAAGTCTAGTGTTCCCATTTTATGGAACAAAATAAACTGATAGGTGCACGTGACTGGCCTAGTTTTGGCAATTCTTATGATTTTTGTGCTTTGAGAGGTTTTATAGATTTTTATGTGAGAAGCTAGTGGCAAAACATCATTTTAGGGCACTAATACGTTGTTTTTCACTACTGCATTTCATTACTTTGCTTCGGTCATTAAGTTCATACGAATTGTTGATTTCAGGAAAAAATCACTTATATACACTCTAAGAATTCTGTTGTGTTTCTGAAAAATATCGTTGGAATCATCTGTTTCTGCAGCATAATTTCCGTGTCCTTCTGATTTAGTGTACTTTCACTGGTGAACTGTTGGGGAGCTGGGATCCTCGGGTGGTGGATGGTGCAGAAGTGAATACTTAGTTTGGTCAAATGTATTAAGAGAATATTGACACTTGTAAGAACCAGGAGATTAAGTGTCAGTTTATATACAATTTGTTGATAAACATCTATCACGAAATGCAGAATAAGGTAGTACCTAGATTTTTTTTTTCTTGTTATTCTTCCTCTGTTAGCCTTACTAAAGTCAGGTAAAGGTGTTTTAACCATTCATGCTATAATTAAGGGGTTTCCCCTACCTGATTTGTGGAAGCTTTAATTGTGGTTTTGTGCATAGACAGTGCTTTCCAAAGCAAATTACTTATGCAGTTTTCAAAATCAAAACAACATTCACATCTTTTGCTTGTCCTTGGAGCAAAGGAATACTCTTAAAATCCATCAGCAATAGCAAAGTTGATAAAATATGTCATTTACCATTCCCTTGTAATATTAACTTAAGAACACGGTACTGGATTCATATTCACTTACAATGGCCCATACTTTAAAGTGTTAAGCTGACTAACTGCATGCACTTTTTCTCCCAGTGGCTTAATTTGTGAGAGACACAGAAGCACAATGCAACCCTATTTCTGAAGGCCTTCTTAAAATAGGAGTATATGAAATAGAACAAACAGTCCCCAGAGGAGAATGTCATTTTCTCATGTAGCTCAGGAAGTCATGAAGCTTTTGAGAAATGTGTGGTCTTATCTTCTTTCCCATAGGTGACTGCCAACAACCAGCCCAGTGTCGAATCCAGAAATGTACCACAGACTTTGTGTCCCTGACTTCACACCTGAACTCTGCCATTGACGGCTTTGACTCCGAGTTTTGCAAGGCCCTGCGTGCCTATGCTGGCTGCACCCAGCGAACTTCAAAAGCTTGCCGTGGCAACCTGGTATACCATTCTGCTGTATTGGGTATCAGTGACCTCATGAGCCAGAGGAACTGTTCCAAGGATGGACCCACATCTTCTACCAACCCTGAAGTGACCCATGATCCTTGTAACTATCACAGCCATGCAGGAGCCAGAGAACACAGGGGCGGGGACCAGAACCCTCCCAATTATCTTTTTTGTGGCTTGTTCGGAGATCCTCACCTTAGAACTTTCAAGGATCACTTCCAGACGTGCAAAGTGGAAGGGGCCTGGCCACTCATAGATAATAATTATCTTTCAGTTCAAGTGACGAATGTGCCCGTGGTCCCCGGATCCAGTGCTACTGCTACAAATAAGGCAAGAATACTTTCTTTCTTCTTCTTCTTTATATCTTTCAGGTGTCTTGACTCTTCAGACAACTTTAGAAGTGTGATATAAAAGGCCGAGTTTAAAAGGAACTTTGCTTGGTCTTTTTGGCAAGCAGTGTTAACAGGGTGGATGAAGGATTAAATGAAAATTAGTAAGGAATTGCTTGCTGGAATTTTGGGGCTTATGAAAAATATGGGTCTAAATTTAAATAGGCAATGATATGAAAAATAAAAAGTAAACAGTAAAGTTGATTTCTCTAGGGAATAGGCAGCCCTATTTAATGAAAGACTATTTTTTTCAGTGATTTTTTTTTTTTTTTAGTGCATATGTTTGAGACTCTAGAGGAAATTCATGTTTAGATTTACTAGATATGACTTATGTAGATTTTCTGAATAAAGAAAGTTGTGAAACCTAGGGACATAACCCATCAGGAAATATTTCATTGGAAATTTGGAGTCTATAGTAAAAGATAATGGCTACAAGCCAGCTTCCCAATTGCTGAGTCTTTTAATTACTATGCTTATGGTGACCAATGAATTTAGAGTTGGATATTGCAGAGCAGTGATGTATAACCCCAGGTAATCTCAGGATAACAGTTTAAATGAGAAGCTGAGGGGAAAACTGACAAAATTAAGTTAGTTTTATTCTCCTTAGCTTCTAGTGTCTGCGGTTCTTGTTTGGCTTGTTGGTTGGTTTTCATGAAACGAATACTGAATCTTCTCAATTTTAAGACATTAATGTCCTAGTGAAGTGATTTTCAACCTTTTTCATCTGATGGCACACATAAACTAATTACTAAAAATCTGGCACAGCAAAAATTAGTGATATATTTTTTGCCAATCTGACAAAAAAAAAGAAAAAGATAGGTACAATTTTGATTCATTCACACCAGATAGCTCTTGTGTTGGCTGTTGTCATTTTTCTTTTTTTTTTATTTGACAATCTATGGGAAAAGAGGTCAGTGCCTCTGACTAAATAGCCAGGTATTGTGTGTCTTAAAAATTCTTGTGGCCCCCTGTTTGAAAAATGAGTGTTGTAGTGCAAGTCGGTGGACAGGAGCTATGAACTGGGTTTTCAATTGCCAGTCAGCACTAATTCTTTCATTAGTATTAGTAAGTAAAGAGGTCAAAAGGCTTTTCCACAGAAAGAGTGTTGCAAGTAACCACTCCTTCCCTGTCTCCCCCAAACACAAAATCACACATTTTAGACTATCTCATCATGCTTAATTTTCTTTATTTTATCCATTAGTTGGTTTAGACTAGAATATAATTGACAGAGATCAAGCTTTTATAATAGGTTCGACTGATCTTTTGAGTCCAGGACACCCTCCCTTGCCTCCAAACATGTGTGGCATTCTTTTAAAGTGAATTGAAATTATTTTACTTGGCTTTTTGTGTAGGGAGTTTTAAAACACCCCCAGAGACCCTTGGCGACGCCCAGGCGTGTCACGAATCTAAGATCAGAAGTCATGGCTCTGAACAAAGAAGGCTGTTACAGGGGTGCAGCCACCTTAGGGGAGCTGAGAAATGTTTGCACTTCAATTCCAGTACAAACCCAACCTGGCCTTTCCAAATCCTGCATCTCAAATAAACTTTACTTCCTCTGGTTTTTATAAGTATGCAAATAATTTTTTCTAGCTGAATATTAAAATATGTATTTGCTATACTATGATGTTAAACTATCTAATTATGAAGTTTTAAGACAAATCATGGCCAAAAATCCACCATTGCAGCAGAGTCAGGACGCAGAACCTGAGAATAGTCTTTGGGAAAACGTAACAGTGGAAATTCAAGAAAGCAGTTCCATTGGGAATGGAGAAAGTCGTCATCGATTGTGCAAATAACTGAGGGCTTAGAGGAGTAGCCTTCAAACAATACAATTGAGATTAGTAAGTGCTGGGTGCATGGGAAAATACTGGTTCAATGGAACAGTTGACACTGAAGTACTTTATTTACATCGTTCCATTTCAGTTGTGGTTGAATCTATCATAGTTTTTTAGCGAATAAAGAAATAAATAAAAGGTACAACTTTGCTTTCTCTCTCAGTTTGTTAAGGATCAAAGGTTTTACCCATACCAAAAAGGGAGGTGGAGGTCTTGTCTTCTGACATAAATTCAAGCCGATGATGAGAATGCTTGGTCTTTAATTGCGCTATTGGAAAGTATTTCCCCACATCTGGTGACCATGCTGTTCAGCAACAAATTACTCTATGGCTTCACGACCTCTAGTAGTTGTTTTTTTCCTTCTTCTTGTAACTCTCTCCAAAGCCCCCAGAAGCATCTGGAAGGTTACATTTGAAGGTCTGTCTCAATGCTGGTATGACCTGCGCTGATGAAACCAAGAAAAGGCCAAAAGTTTTGCAGTACAATTTCCTTTTATTGCACCTACCCAGGGCCAAAATATAACCTTAAAAAAAACTCTAAGCAATGAAAAAAAGATGCTAATGAAAATAAAAGCAATATGAGGCGAAAAGTACTTAGGAAATAAGGTCAAAAAAAGATTTGACTTTTTCCTTGTTGTCTACACAGTACTTAGAAAAAACTTTTTTTGGGAAGATTTTTTTTGTGTGTGAGTCCCAGCTTTACTGAAACCTTAGACACATGCATAGACCAGCTATTGGATACCTTAGCACTGCATGTTGCAGATACTGTGTCATCCTTGTAATCAGGCACCTTTAATGACCTGTATGCTCAGTGTCACTAGCTTTAAAGACTGACCAGCGCTTTTGACAAAGCTGGCCAGCTGTGAAAGTGAAATTGCATTTGAGCAACCATTTATTTCCTTGCCTTCAGCACTGAACTAAACCACTAGACCTGGGCATTTGGTCCGTGAGGTCCCTAAAGCAACCCCTCATCCAGGGAGCCTGGCTTCTCGGGCAAGCCATTTTCAGGCTGATTTTTGTGAGCGCTTCTTGACCTTAAGGACCCACCTTTCCCTCATCACGAAAATACAAACCTGAGGGGGGGAAAATCTAAACAAAATGAAAGAAAAGTGAAGTCATCTGTCCTCAAGGGGCCATTTATTAGCTAAGCCTTTTCCTTTTTTCCACTTGCAGGCAAAGAGTTCAGGGCCGCCACGCCCGCAGTGCTGGACAGCACGGCCCATCTCCCCTTTCTACTTCTCTCCCTCTTCCCTTGGGAAACGTGGGACGGTTTTCCACTTGCCATGACGCGTGCCGGGGCGCTTCTTCAGGGCCTCTGGGATTTTGTCACGTCCTCTGCCAGCGTGTTAGGCTCCCTGTCTTAGGAGTATTCTCTGTGGTTGGCCACCTCGCTGGGTAGGTGTGTTCTGAAGCCAGGGCCAGTTTTTCATCGCTCCCCCCGCCGTGGGGCTGCAAGGGCTGCTGGCACATCTACACACCTGGGCTGGGGTCCACATCAGCTCTGGGCCATCTTCCCCACCTTTGGCTGTGAGAGGCGCTTCAGACTTGAAGGCACTCGGCGGGAGAGATGAGAGGGCAGGCTTGGAACTGGCAGGGTTGGCTACATGGGAAAGAAAAGCAGTTTTTGTTTGGGGAAAGAAGGCAGCTCACACTAGGCCAGAAAGGACACAAGTCAGTAGCTCCCTCAGGCCTCTCAAATAAATAAACCCCATCATCAGTGGCAGTGCATGACTTCTGTACCTTTTCTTCCACGTTTTCTTTGCCAGCCCCATAGTCTCAACTCTCGTGTACCATTTCCATGTATCTGTGGATCTTTGCTTAAGTGGACTCAATATAGATTTGTATATGCTGTGATTACAGAAAGTGATTTTGATATAAGTCATAGGAAAGGATTCTGAACTTTGCAGATATGCTATATTTTTAATAGCGTATATTAAAATCACCAGTTTCTAAGGTGCATTTAAAATGATTCATTTTCCAAAAAATGTCACGAATGCATGTGTAACACACCTAAACAATGGTGGTATTTTAAAAATTATTTTCAAAATTTGTGCTTTATTTTGACTTCTTTTTTTAATGTCATTGGGTCCTTCCCCATCACTGTAGCTTTCTTAACCTTCCGTCTGACAAAATCCCAAGTTGGAGGGTACAGTGGGGATGAGGGCAAGTCCTTTTATAGATATTCTGCTACAGATTTTTATGTGATTCGCCCTTAGTGAGAGAAGGTGTTTTACCTTAGGGCAGTTTACATTGGGGAAGGAGGTATGTTCTTTATGCTTGACCAAGCCAGGTTAGGCAGGTGAGTGGACACCTGAGACGCCTCTTTTAGGTTCTTGCTGCCACGCTGGGCTGCCAGCTCTGGCTGATCCCCTGGGTGGTAGCACTCAGCTGTCTAAGCATGGAGAGAAGCCCTACCCATCAGGTATCTCTCTGTATATTTAAAAGTTTGTAATAATCCTTAATTCTTGAGCTACTTTCTGGAAAGTCCCGAAAACTTCCGCTAGGTGATGATACCAGAGCTACAGGAAGACTTAGTTCACTTTGTTCATAGTTGCTTATTGTCTTCCTCCAAGTATAAACCCAAGGTGTTCCCTTATTTGTTTGTGGGGTCCTAGAGCATGTGTCATGTCCTCCCTTTCTCTCTGATGCCTCTTTGCACGTAGGTGTTATTCTACGAGGGTAAACCAGTGTTGTGGACCATTCTGTTGGTTACAAAATTAGAGACAGACATGCCTGCATTGCGAAGGCTTTCAACTGTCGTTTTAAGCATATCTCTGGATCAAGGTTTGGAAATATGTTGTCTCTTGACCACAGGCCTAGGACATTTTTTTGTTATTATTGTTGCCAAGTTTTTGTAATCCATTATGCTTTTAGTATCTTTACAGAGACAATGTGAGCTACACTATGGACTAAGGAAGATCCTGCACCCTCCCATTAGCAGGGTTGTATCTTGAATATATAAACACTGTTCTTGCATGCAGCATTTTTAGAGGGGACACATGGCATTTCCTCTGAGAATGTAGAGTCCTTTCCTTTCAGAGAGCACAACTGCTCTGCAGATGTATTGTAACCAGTCTTCAGATCTGAGATTGCCCTTTATTTTATTA